TAATGAACTCCTAGTAGGCCAAACTCAAAGATATCCACACTGATATGCATTACAATTTAATTATTTAAAGTCAAGACAAAGAAACAAACATTTGAAAAACAAGAAAGAAGTGACTGATCATATAGGATCATCAATCATAACAATAAATATTTCTCATCAAGAATCACAGGGGCAAGAAGTCAGTGAGATGATATATTCAAAAATATGAAGAAAAAAACTAGCCAGAAATTTTATACTTAGTAAAACTATCCTTTAAAATGATGGCAAATCCATTGATGGAAGAATGAATAAATAAACTTTGATTCATACACACAATGGAATACTATGCATCATTAAAGAATAATGATGAAATTGTGAAACATCTCATGGCATAGACAGACTTAGAGGAAATCATGCTAAGTGAAGTTAGTCAAAAACAAAAAGATAAATCTTGTATGAAACCACTGTCATAAAAAGTAAATTTAAAAGAAGGTTTCTATGCTAAAAGAAACAGACTGTGACAGTTACCAGGGGCAGGACAGGAGGATGGAAAGGATAAATAGGTCTTAACTTTGGTAATGGGCAAGATAATATCCTATACGAGGGAGATGGGAAAACAGAGATGGGGGAAGGAAACAGAACAAGCTATGAGGAGGTTTGACACATTATTTAAAATGGTGAATGGAAAAACAATATCTAATATGTAAGCCTGTACTTAATTCACAATTAAAGTAAAATCAAATAAAGACAAAAAATGATGGCAAAATTTAGACATTCACAAAACTAAGACAAGATGTTGCAAGTAGACTATTTCTATAAGAAATGTTAAATGGAGTTGTTCAGACTGAAATAAGACTCAAACAGTAATTCAAATACTCACAAAGAAATAAAGAACACCAGTAAAAGTAACTACGTAGGTAATTATAAACATCAATATTAATATTTATTACTATTATTTAGGGTACACTATAGCTATAGCACTATGCTTTTAAAAATGATTTAAAATATAAATACATATAATAATTGTGAGTCAATGTAAATAGTCACATCATGTGCAAAAATATAATTTGTGACAACAACATTGGAAAGGCCTGAGATATGTTGGAATGAAGCATTTCTATACTATGAGACTAAGATGGAATTACTCTGAATCACACTGTTATAAATTAAGACCTTAATTGGTATTCAAGGGCAAACACTGAAATAAACTACTCAAAATATGTGGTAAATGAAAACATATATTAAAATAGTGCAGTAAA